CCTGTAGTGGTTCATTGAACCACAATGCCGACAAGTGATTAATAAAAGTCAAAAGACCAAAGAGGTCACCTTAATACAAAAAATATATATATATAAAAATTTAGAATTATCATTAATATTAGATTCCTTAAATGTTTTTAAATCTTTAAATATTTTATTAACATGTTCATATGTATTGGCCTCAAGTAATTTATATATAAGTTCTTTAGTTTTAGATAAATAATTACTGTTCTTAATTTTTCTAAATAAAATAAAATATAATTAAATTATATTTATAAAAATAAATAATATATAAATAATATTTTTATCTGCAATACTGAATACAACAACTTTTAAAAATATTACAAAGATGTTCATCTCAAGATAAATTTTTATTAATTGAATGTAATGTTTTACCTAATCATTTTGTTTGAGCATAATTAAGATCTCCAATAATACATTTCCAACCAGTTTTGTGAATATGATAAAATTGTGATGATTTTTCAGTTAATTTTAATATTCAATCAAAAAGAAAACTAAACATTTGATAATATGATTCACTATCAGTGATATTAGTAAAAACTTTTGCATATGTCAAAGCTATAAAATTTAATAATAATTTTAAAATTATTTTTTTAAAAATAATTAAGTATCATTGTAGTTAAAAAAAATAAAATATAAAATAATTTAAACTTACATAATTTGTATTATTCATTAAAACAATTAATTTCAAATTTATTTATTTCTCCATAAACTCTTTTAAAAAATAAATCAATTTTGAAATATTCTAAATTGATCCATGCTTTAGCTTGCAATTTAGACATACAAATAACCATTAGTTGACTATTTGAAAAAATTGCTAAAAATTAAAATAATAATTTAATTATAAGTATAATAAATAATAACAAATAAATATATATAAAATTAATATAATATATACCTGATTGTTGTACATAATCTAAATATTTTGTATTTTTTTCCTAATATTATATGTTATTTCAAGAATATCTTGACCAAATGGATTATAAGTTTTTTGAATTTTTGATATAAGTCTTAGTTTATTAATGTCATTAAGTGATACATAAACTTGAAATAAATAATTTATACTAAAAGTTGCTTTAATAAGATTATCTAATAAATATAAAATATTTAATTAATATCTTTTAACTATAATACTTATATATATAACTTAAATTATAAAATTCTCTAAATATTTAGTTTACACTATATAGTACTATATTATTTACTTAAAATAAGTTTTCATGATGTAATATCTATTAAGTCTTCTGAAGTTTCTTTAATTATAATCTTTAATTTATTAATAATTTCAACAGGAACTTTGCTAAGCAGAGGTGATGAATGTTTATAGATTCCTTTACTAATAAGAATTACATAAGGACACTTTTTTGTATCATACAGTATAATCTTAAAATATTTTACATCACATTGATGTTTAATTATTGACCCTTCATTTATTGTACTATTAGGATGACAATGTAAAAATCCTAAATAAAATAATTATTAATAATTTATTTTTTAAATAATAATAGCTTATATTATAATTATTTTTACCACATGTTTTTCTTTTTGAATTGGATGATAATACTAATGAACACAATGATTTAATATCACTTGGTGACTCAAACTAAAAAAAATAATATTTTAATAAATATTAAAATAAATATAAAATAGATATATAATAAATTAATATACTTTCAGATTCACCATTAAATAATCACTTTAATAAATCTATATTAATGTTATTTTTTAATTTATGAAAAAAATGATTTCTACTACCAGTTTTATCCCACCATCAGTTACATCCAATAAACCAACTCTCAGAAGCTTGATTGTCATATTTATTACATTTTTGTACAACAAAAATACCTTTGCAATTACTATTATTAAAAGCATATTTTAATCTAATTATAACAAGATATTTGCTAAATATAAAATATTAATTAGATATATATATTAAAAACAACTTTTTAAATTAAACTAATCTAAAATACTTACGTATATGTTTGCATTTCTATAGATTTTTGATTATCCAATATACAGTATTTTCTTGATAAAAATCAGTATCCATGTTGACTTTATTATGTGAATTATTTTGAATTTTATCACATGTAAATTTATATTGCTTTATATTTTGATATATTGAATAATATTTATGTACATCACAATTTAAGAAAGTACACCATACTTTGGTATTTCTGCCACCACTAGGGCGACCTCTTTGATATTGCATCTAAAATAAAAAATACGATTAAATATAAAAAATAATTATATTAAATTTATTATAAATATTTTATACTTAATAGTACATTGTTAAAAAAAACATCATATAACTCCCAGGATAATGTTGTTAGTCAAAATTATTTTTGCCAATGTCAAAATTTGTCTAAATTAATTTTGACTAAATGTCTAAATGTCTAAATTAAGTTTTATTTATTTTTTTATAGTTATTTTTTAAAAAATAACAAAGTCAAGATTGTCTAAATTCAATTTGTCTAAATGCCTAAATGTCTAAATAATTTCAACTAACAACACTATCCCAGGATTCTATATTAAACACAATTGCAATGCTTTGCTCTGAGGTAGGTGGATATTCTATTGGCAAAGCAGAATATCTAACTTCTCCAACCCTTAAGTTTTCAGTAATTAAGTTTGCCAATGATGAATTATCTTTGTAATCAGAATTTCCACTATCATGATTGACTACTTTTACCTTAATAAAATTTTTTTTAGTATTTATTACAATATATTATAATATAAAATTAAATCAAATAGAATAAATACTGTTTGAGTAGTAATAACTTCATAATCATCAAAAAGCGAATATGAGATTGGTTCAGATAAATTGACAACTGGAATTTCTCTTTCAGATTCTTTATATATAGGTTTATAATCATCAGCAGAATTATAACTTGCAATAGATTCATAATTATTAGAACTATCAGTATATGTATCGTCACTGTTAATAATTATAGGTTCTATAACAATTTGAATTAATCAAAGAATAAGTAAAAGATAATAATTTCGAAATTGCTTAAAAAAATCAAATTTATAACTTATATGATGCTGATTGTTTTAATGATAAATAATACGATTTATATTTAAATCATTAATCATATACAAGTTGCATTAATTAATATGATGTAAATCTTAAATTAAAATTTTTATGTATTCATAGCGGCTAATTATAAAATACTATATATAATAACTAAATTAACTATATAAAGTTAGAATACATATATTGCTTAGCTAATTAAATAAAATATTCAAATATTTTTTAAAGAATTCAGGTCATAATCTATTACGAACATTTAATACAAGTTTAAAATTTAACGGATAATCATAAAAAGACCAGTAGGGGGAAACACATCTAATCCAAAGTGAATCCTACACACAGTGATTAATTATAACTAAAATTATTTATTTTAGTTTTAATTGATTACACTATATGCAGGATTCACTTTGGATCAAATATATTTCCTTTTGTTAAAAAGACCTTTTGCCAATTAACAATTCTGTTATAATAATTCTTATACTATATATATCCTATCTAGTAAATTTCTGATGCAATATAAGCGTAATTCTATAAAAGGCTTGTTACAAAATATCTTTATTATAAAAATCACAATAAACATATTCTGATTTATAAATTCTAACTATACAAATTTTTTTTATTACATATATAGAAATATCATAAAACATGTTTGAGTTTCTATATTATATATCACAATATTCAATATATATCGAACATGATTTTCAAAATTATAAAGTTAGATATATAATTATAAGTATTAGAATCAGAAAATTTTGATTTCATAAATTTTACAGATATAAATATGAAATTTCTTATTAACTTACTTTGTGATATTTGGCTAAAAATCATTTATTAGTTCTATTTGATAGATGTTAATCCAACAAGAAGCTTAATGTAGTTTTTTGAATAAACTTTGATTTAATATAGTAAAATACATATAGCATTCTTCGATTTAAGTTATAGTAGAAGTTTTTTAGTTAAATTATTTCACTGTAATGAAATTGAAACATAAAAGTGTATATTATAAATGTATAGTTATAGTTCATACATATTTATAAAGTAATAAACAATATAAGTTTTCTCTATTATGATGCCAAGTTAGTTCAAGAATGCAAGGCGATGTACATAAACAGTTGTATAACGGTTTTTTTAGAATTTAAAGTTATTGCAGGGGTTTCATTATATGTATATAACAATATATATGTGTTATATTATATTGCACCAAGTTCGGCATATTAGGGATGCCTACAGCAAAACAAGACTTCGGGACTATATATTATATAGTCCCTAAGCCTTGTTTTGCTATAGACATCCCCATTTATTATTCAATATTATTCAATATTATGAATCAAAGACAGGGCGATTTATGTCTCATGTATCCAAGTTTCTTATATAGGTGACCTCTTTCATTTGACGCTAGGGTATGACAACCATTGCGTGATAGATAAATATTCACTATATAAGCTTGATAATAAATACTATTTGTCATCCACATGATTGGTCACATCCCCTGTAAATTCTCAGTATTACTTAAAAAATATTAATATTTTACTCAGTAATTACTGTATCATACTGCGTACAATATTATCTTACTTAGCTAATTTAACAAATGTTACTGAGAAAAAATTTTAACATTTTCAACATAACTCTACTCAGTTGATTAAAAGCACTTTACTCAGCAGGGGTATAATCATTTTAATCTGGTTATTAACTGATTACTGTCTGATTAGTGACAATTTTTGTAACTACAAGAATCATCATTAATAATCAGTTAGCAATCAGGTTAAAATCAGATACCCGATTCTTAGCTGATTTTTTAAATCTCGACTAGTGTAATATTATCTGTAAAATGTATTTAAATTCGTATTTACACATACGCGGTAATCTGAAATAGTCTGTGAGTATAAGATCATTTATATTACTATCACCATTTAAATTTTGCAATTAAGTTCATTTGGATTTATCATTATATAATGGCATGTAAGTATTGAAAAAAGTCAGCAATCAAGTTACCATTATATAAATATCTCAATATCGATATATTCTATTCACATTAATATAGTGAGTATACTTATAATTTATGAAAGACTACATGACGCCCTAAATGTGTTTAATTCATTTAACATAACCAATAAAGATTATTTATGGAATTTTTGCAGATATTCTATATAATTTGATATTTAAAATATCAATTTACATAATAAAATTTTTGTCGATGCCCACGCTAGATTTGATCTAAAATTAGAATTTGCTGCGGAGTCATAGAGAAGTATTTTGTGATTAGCTAATTTATATCGATCTAACAGGTTATGCTAATAATAGCTTGTCATTGTTATTGTTACTAGTGATGCGCAAATTCAAATTTAATTCGCATGGGAATTTCTTATGGTTTCGGAACCTATTAAAAATTTAGCTTATATATGTTGTAAATGGAAATGGAATTTAAGTGGATTTGGGATTTCCTAGTTAAATTTGGGTTAGGGTCAAGGTGTATATATTATAAAATCAACCCAATAATTCTAGTTTTAAATAAAAATTCTGAATCCACTTACAGCTGTTTTCAAAAAGGTGTGAACAACGATTTTCATATACCTATGTGGGAAATCGAAGAATCGGGAAATTCTGATTAGTAAAAATTGAATGTCCGATTAGCATTGGATTTGAACCACCCTAGCGTCGCCCAAAAAATCAGTTACGTACTGGAATTTGAAATTAGCATCGGTACTTAATAACTCAAATAGCGATACTAATGACTTATCAATAAATATATTGCA